GGAGAGAGAGAGAGAGAGAGAGAGAGAGAGAGAAGGACGATAGTTGTCTGAAAGAAAGGGTAAACCACAGTAGAGCACCTGCCAACCGCCCACAAACTGGGAGTTCGTACAACTACAACACAGTACCCAGCTCTAGGACTGCATGTTAAAATCCGCAAATAGCCCGACAGCGTCAAAGCTGAAATGGTATAGGTTTAACGCCCCTACAAGGAGTTTACCCTACCAACACTATTAGGTTGTGCAAGAGGCTGGGCCTCAGAGTTAAACGTCCATCCCCGAAAGGACCGAGCGAAGTGAGTAATTCGGGTAAAGTAAAGTGCTTTCCCAAAGGCGTTGCGCTGATGCTCGTACACCCGAACCCGTAATCTCACGCCCAACCACAAGGCCACCGACGCCACCGCTCAAAGCTGTTCAAGGCCTCAATATGTGAGGCGTCGTGGTGAAGTCAGGCGCTCGTCAAAATTTTAATAATGAAATTCAAAGAAATCATAAATCAGCATTTTTGGGGCCGAGGGCCAATTTTTAAAAAAATTCGGAGTTTGTTTTGTTTGTTTGGCTCACACCATTTAAGCCATTTAAAAACACATTTTTGTCTGGACTTTACTGAAAAACATTGACTAAAGGCACACAAATTTGCAAATTTTCAGTTTCCAAGGACTCTCAGGCTATGGAAGTTACCAAACATTGGCGGCCAATTTCTCGTTAAGTTTACCTCTGAAACCAGGCGACCCTGACCAGTTTCAAAGGCAAATATTTCGAGTCCTATTCTACATAATTGGACGTTTTATTTACCAAAAGGAAGGCAAATGAACAAATTTTAAGATGACACCAACAACCCCATATGCCCAAAAATTGTCGAACGCTTGATTCCACCACGTCGTGACACATTATTTTTGCTGATGGATTGAGGCTGTAGCCTACAGGCTACTCTCCGCAAAGGTCGAGGAAATCTGGGGTATCAGCAGTTGAAGTAAAAGAGGCGAAATGCGATAATAGTGCATTAAGAAAATCGTAAAATTCTGAAGGCCAGGCGGGTGACAATGTTGATGCGCTATATATATATATA